TATATGTAGCACAAAAATTGACATTCAAGTACGTGTCTAAAGTGCTTGACAGAAAAGCAGGTTACGGGTATCTGTTTCGAACACTGACACGTTGCCATAAATGTGCCGTGTATGCGGAAGCTACGACGGAAGAGGCAAAGCTGGCCTTTGGGTCATGCTAGTAGTCCCTCATTCCCTCTGATATTTGTTAATGTGCCACTCCATTGTGCTTTAGCTCATTACAGGGCGCTAGTAAATGCTCCTGACGGCACATTGACAACCAAGTAGACACTCATTAGTGCTGCAATTCGCTCTCCCATTTTATGTCTTCTCGATCCACTTGCTGGCTTTGAAAGTTACTAGATACCCACTCTCTTCTGCAACATCATTGAAGACCTTACAGTGGGGGAAGCACCTAGCGGCGTATTCCAAAATAACACCTACTCGATTTCTCACGTATCTACATCTACAAGAGGTTTGAATTTTTACTATAGCTGGCTTGTGAAAGCTTACTTATGTGCCAACTCCACACGGCAGCGGAGGCAGTAGTCAGATTTCACGTCAACTTCAGTCAGTCAGACCTTTTATCCAAGTAGCAGTTAGTTAGGCGCTGTCCCACACCGCATCCATCACCGACCCACTTCATGCAGTACGCAAGGTCGAGGTTATCACCGAGGCAATACGCTCCCTCATAACTCTTCTGCACAGAGTCGCCATGTCTTCAGCTATCCCCAGTATATTCCTTTCTTCCGTGAGCCCAAGACTTGGTAAACAAGGGAAGTAGTGGAGACAGTTGTCCTTTTACTTGCCACTTCCATCAACGCACCTCACCTAGTTGTTCCTGCAAGGGGATTAGTGCATACCAATACGAAGGTGACTTCTCCGACGAACGGTAGGGCTAAAAGACTGTTACTATAGCTTAAGCTGAACACTGTGGCCACAACCAGGAAACTGAAACTGAGACCGCACAGATTGAGTGCCCTGGGCACCTCAAAACATGCAGTTGAGCAGGTGCCTGATCGCCGCATATTTACATCTCAAAGAACATTAGAATTAGTTTTCCCCCTCATGGACTGCGATGGAGGATATTTAAACAGAGACGAAAAGTGGAAATCCCTGACTGCCGGTGCCAAAAATTAACTAGAAAAATATGTTCAGTCGAAACTCAACACCAAGCAAGACGGGCCCCGACCGACCTCCCAACGCGTCAATCGCAAAGTATCTTGCCACCGTTAGACTCGAATGAATAGCAACATCTGCTACTCATCCTAAGCCCCTATGCTGTCGACATTCTCGCCTCGTTTTCGACACCTCTGTCGTTTGGGTTATACCCTGTAGCTAGTTTCCTCATTCTGCACTTTTCTACCCTGTCCTAAACACGCCAATGTCCCAAATACCACTGATAGATTTATCAACTCCATACGTAGGAAGAACTTTACCTGAAGGATGACAGTTAGAGGTCTATATTCCTTACACCTAATACCCTCATATCTCGTGCTGACTTGATTGAGTGAACGAGTAGAACGAAACAAAGAACATGAGTAGGCAGATCCTAGCACCGCATGGACATGGGGCTCCCTTCCGCTTGCACCTCCTCATTCTTCTTCAGCTAAAATACCATTATCCTCTGGTTCTACCTCGCAGGTCAAAACTCCGTGGCTCGCCTCCTCAGTGGAAGGCGCTGGTTTGCGTAGAAATAAAGGCACTGGTAAGAATGCCTAGGGGTGAGCCCCTAATTCCTTTTATGCATTCATACCTCCTACTTCCAGCACAGCACACTCCTGCTGCCTCCTTTGACACATCTACAGCCACAAAAGCATTAGCAACGCGACACCCGCCGACTTGCGTTAACTTGTTCCATACCACTAGCCTACTCCTTTCGAAGCATAGTAGCACATTTTCATGGAGTAGCCGCCTTGTCGTCCACATTCCCTCATATGGCATACCAGATCAACTTAGAAGAGGTCGAACCTAAAAAGAGCTTACTCTACGTGCATGGCAAATCCTAGGTATCTACACATACACCCAAAACCAGCCAGCAAGCTCAAAGTGAGGAAGCCAACTAACCCCCCGCCCCACCCATTCACTCCCAAGTTCCATTTCAGTGGCCATCCAAATTTTCTGCACAAACTGGCCAAACTGCTCGCCTACGACCCACCCACCGCATTGCTCGTGTTCCCGTTTTTCCATCTATTTCCCTTTCGGATTGAGATGAGCACCCGATGGTGGAGCAGGAAGTTCCAAAAAGGTATGAGGACAAAAAAAGCGAAAGAAGGGGCAAATGTTGGCAACCTTGACAAAGCAAAGCAGCAAAAAAGGCAAATTGATGGAGACGTCTCCATGGAGGATGGAGATAGTTCGTCGCCCGAATTGCTAGAATTGGAAGAAACCTATGCAGGCATTGAACCATGAGCCCCATGAAATAAAGTGTGGAATGAAAGAAGGTTCAATCAAAAGCGAAATGTGTTTCTGAAACTCACAAGAGCCCAAATCACAGGTGAACAAAAAAGAAATATTTAAAATTACTACCTGTACGTGAAGGTACGATAAACAATTGAGGCGATGAGTGGCCGACCTCTAGGATAACATGGTTTTCAAGTAGACAGGAGATTCATGATTCCGTTACGCGTGTTCCAATAATCCAACGCTACAAGTCCGATCGCAACGACCTGAAAATGAAGGAATGGTGCAACAGACTAAAATAAACCAATGAAAGAGGAAAGCGAAGGATACTTCTGCCATCAGATACACTCCCTCCATAACAGAAGTGTTTTCTGACGAATTTGGCCCTTTGCACTGTCTTCTTGGACATCTTGTCCAGCCAGCACCAGTTTACCAATACTACTTCTAGTATCACAGTCTTCCACCATAGAGCAATTGAATATACAAGTCAAGAGATCACACCCAAGATTCTCAAGATATGTCAATCGAATCGTGCCTTAATCCCAATAAACTGCAACTTATGGATATATTGAGGACTATAATCTATACTAAAACTTCAAAAACTCAAAAAATTCAGCTTCTCGTTCAAAAAAGGGAAAATATCTGCCTTCCTTCAACATCAAGTTGAGAACAGGCTCCAGCATGTCATCGATTCATAAAGTAGATTCTTCCTAACACGTGGAGGAATCTACCTGAACCTATCGAGCGTTACAAAGGCTACAATTTAGAAGCCTGATAAGAATGTATATGAAAAGTTAGAAGTATTTGACTACTAATTAAAAAATACTAAAGTTCATACCATCTCTATTCGCACATAAAGTAGCTGACACGACACATACCTCAAAAATACCCCTGTAACAAAAGGCCATATGGTAACGAATTGTCCTTAATGCACAGAAACACCAGGCACACAAACTCGCTCCTAAATCAGTCCATCCCAAAAGGCAGACATTTGGGGAGACCTAGCACTTTCTGCAGCAAATATTTGACACAACCTCATCAGCCGTTGTATAGAAATGGCCTTTTCCAAACAAATGATGAATGGATATAATTTCATTAGAATGGTCACGGACCCCAAAAATGCCTGTACACAGGACATTCGCACGCAGTACATTGAGGAAAAGAATAAAGCACATTTGAGGAAGCTAATTCAATATGAGGATTAGCACCATGTGAAGTTCCTTGGGAGTAGTATAATAAACTTTTCCAAGAATGACCACCGGCAGTGAATTCCGCAAAAATGACTACGCACCACCTTGCTGTGTCAGAGATATAAATCAAATACTTGCGTTAGTTTATACCCCTCCCACGCATACATTTGTAGGCAAAAATAAGATAAAATACCGCAAGGAGGTGATCCACATACCTTATGGAAGCAGAAATAACGAACTGAGGAGCTGAGCCTGCATCGAACGCATGGTAAAGAAGGTTATGTTTGCAAACGACCTTTGAGAGATTTAAGTAGAGGAAATCAAATGTTTGATTTTCACCGCTTTCGTACACCATTAAAAGTGCAAAACCTATCTATACAGTTTTATCAATTAGTTTAATGCGGAAACTTGCATTGAATACAATATCTACATCAAAAAAGTAAATACGGGTTTTGTTAAAATATCACGGCTGTTGATGTTTCTTTATAGTTAAAGGTGATTTACGAAATAGCTCTCAATATATTGCGAAGTGCAGTCGATCTCGCAAATGTGCAACATGTACTCATTGCCTGTAAAATCTAATTTGATTGAATTTATACGAGAATTTTGCATAAATTTTACAAACGCACACAACATAGGTAAGTTTTGATGCTTTTGTGCTTGAATGATGATGCATTTTAACTTTTAACTTCTCCGTTGGATTGAGCTGCGTTAAAATTGTTTCAGCCTAAAGGGTATGTTTTATGATTACATTCTTTTGCGTTTTATAATAAAAAAGAAAAGTGGTTATGAGAAGTCGTCTTGTGTAATTCGTTCGTTGATTAACTCCCGCATTTGGTGGAGGGCCTCTCGGTAATGGCCATTGTATTTCGCCGGAGTGTGCTGGCCTTCAGGCCATGCCAGCAGCCCTAATAACTTCTTTATGTCGGACATATATGTTCTTCTCGAGTGTTCTATCTTGTTTTGTCTTCGGGGGTGTCTTGGGGGCTACATTGATGGCAGCGGAAAGTGAACCCCATCTCAGGGTACATCCATCCTGATTTCTGCTGCTGTGTGATAAACCTTAGCGGAATGGAAGAATAGCATATGCTACGGATGGGAGAATCCGGGATGACCCTAAACAAGAGGGCTGAAATTGTCGCTTACCTTCGGTTACTGCTGCAGTGCCGGAAACGACAATAGCCTCGGATCATCTGGAAAAGTTTTTCACAGAGTTCCCCTACCGTGTCTACATTAAGTTCTCGACAAAGTGAATTCGTGATACCTCTTCCACTCTCCGCTAGCTGGATAGAGTCCGGATAGATATGACTGGTCAGCTCCGATTTGGGAACCACGTGGTACGGAGGAACAGACGCGAAACCCTTTCCCACGGACCTGTGTTAAACCCCATCCCTCCTTACACAAACCTGCTTCTAAACCTATGTATTGTCACGCATGTTGGCCATCACAATTCGACTTTCCTGAATCCAGTTCCAAAACTGGATGAACCTCCAGATCTAGTTGAATTGCAGGAGAAGTCAGTGACGTTGCGGTCAAGTACCTCCTCATTTTCATGGAAATTTGATGACTGGCGCGGCTGGATGGCGGGTGTTTCCTTACAGCGCTAACTACGTTGTGATGGCCGACGCTGGCGGTTGACCAAGGGGAGCGCCGGGGATGACGCTCAAAAGTGGAGAGGGGCTATATGATAGGTTGGTTGCTTAACTCGCGGTTTTTGTGAAGGACGACTTCTGACTTGACCACTGTATCATGCCGGGTGGGATGGCTTCCGAACCATGCCAGTAGCCTTGATGCCTTCTGTATGTCGGATACATATATTCTGCCCGAATATTACGGCTTCTTTTATCTTCAGGGAAGTCCCGGGGCACCATACGTAATATTTGTTTTTTTTTATTGGCCGCTGTGCTCCTGAGGTGCCACTTTAATGTATATCCGCAGTGCGATGTGCTACCATGTGTTATTTATTTAGGCCCTATTTACTTTATGATTGGCACTTCAGGAGGCAAAAAAAGCAGCAGCACCAGTTTGGATTTTTGATGGAGGTATTAATGAATGTCAATAACTTACAAATCGGGGCACAGGCCCTACCGTCCCCTCACAGTCGTTATCCACCACTGGAACGTCGCCCTGGCAGGTCTCAAAGCCTGAGCACAACATTCGATTAACGTCCTTTTGTGCGCCTTCGTTGTTCGCCTCTCTCATTGATTTTTGCTATGCGACCTTGAACCTTGGGACAGTTTAGCTACTGAACTTCCTCCTGCGCTTCACCCGCTCCGTATGGAAGCTGGTACTGGTGTGTTTGGAAGAGCGGAACTGCTTTCAGTAGTTTTTGTATGTGCTGCTTTGTACACCTATCGCAGTCTCGATGGTTCAAAGAAGGGGACTGTCTTTTCCGGTGAGTTGCCCGCTGAATACCGGTCTTCTTTAACCCACGAGATTCATTGAGTTTACACCAGTCAGATCTTTGATGCGTTAGTGCGATCTCCGATGAACTGATTCAAACCATTTATTTTGCTCGATACTGTCGAGTTAAACTTGAATTTCAGTTAATGTTTAATTGCAGTAGTATTCCCTGTTGTGGTCACCTTTTTGATGGCTTTGTGGAATTTGGTAGGATTTGCGGAATTTCCTACACGGCCATGTGAACCATTTGCTCCCCTGCCAGTTCATTTATACGTTAAATTAGTTGCCTCGATACATGTTTACAACTTTCTGGATTTTGTTTACTTTAAGGTAACTTTTAGTATATTTTGGTGTGTAATTTTGTGGGATGTTTCAAACACCATCTTTTATGATCCGTGGATGATGGCAAAACATTCGCTTAAGTAAATGATTATCATTGAATTGGAAGGTGATTTCAGACTACAACCAGTCGGACATCAAGCGTAACATTAACGTCTTCCAGTTGCCTCGTAGATTTCCTTTTTTTCATTACTTCTTGAACAAACCGATTTATTCGGTGTGATATCTCCCAATTGCTTTAGTTGGGTTACACTTTGTGCTTCCAACTTTATTGCCGCTTGTTTTAGCATTCCTTGATGACAACTTAAGCTGTGCTTACTGCCACATTTCTCCGTGAATCTGCTTCCTTGGTTTAACTTTAGCCAAACAGAATTCTACTGAAATTGTGGCTACCTAAGTGTTGCTTCTTTCGTAACGTCAGCAAATCCTTTTGGGAAGCCGTAAAATGTGGAAACTAGGTTTGGCTAATTCTGTGTAAAAATTGGACAGTTTATTGACTCCTCGTTTCACCTCTGCGTGGATTCCAAATGTGCGGAATCTGTTCTTTTCTGTCCTTGTGCTTTGTCGGTAGTTGAAACGCTACGCACAGCATGAGCGACACACTTTAGACTGTTGTAAATGCGAACACGGGTAGATCTCAGCTAAATTTAAGTCTCCCCCAGCTCTGTACTCGTGGATCAGTTCTGTGATTCCATATTCATTCCTTAAGGTTTTAGGCGTATCGAACTGAACGTCTGGAGCGTTCCGTATCCACAATGCAAGCAAAACAGAGTTTAGAATTCTCAGTGTAGCTTTAAGCAACCCTTTGATAGGTGGACTTTATTCTGATACAGAGCACGCATGTCTGTCGAGGTAAATTGGGTTTTCTGTTTTTATTTGGCATCTGTTACCGTTTCAAATGAAAATAATCCTCACGCTGAATCGTAGGATTCGCCGACATCCCATGGGAGACATATACAATTCCCGATCACTGTCATTTTCTACTCCTAGTTTTGACAATTTTCCGAAGGACTGAAGTTTGTGGAACGGTTCCTTCTCATGGCATTTAGAGTTGTTAAAATTACCCTTGCTATTCCCCAAAAGTTGATTTTTCCACTTATGTTGGAGTAAAATAAACTAATACAAAGTCAGCGGCCTCGGATGACCGTGTTCACGTTTCTCCCAGAATATCTAAGCCATTTTGGTTCGCAGAAGGGTAAAAATGTGTTCGGAAAAATGAGATCCTGCAGATTCCTTGAGCCTTGACCTCACAATAGCGTGTGCTGTTTCTTTACGGCCGTTTTGGCTGTTTGTTTGAGCGGCACCTTGACCATATTCCATAGCTGTGGTCCCATTTGTAGCCAAAGCCAAGCAAGTAAATTCGCGCAGAGCTTGTAATCAAGAGCAATGAGCCAGAAAAGGCAACCTGGGAAGTATTTTATTGGTCAAAATAGTGTGGATTACAGTGTGTAACTTTGTCAGTGAGGCATAAGATTGCCGCGAATTTCACTTCTATGCAAGTAACTGCTTCTAGAAGCAAAAGAGCGGCATAAGCTACCGGACGGCGTGGTGGCGCGTGTCTTAGGCGTGTAGGCGAGTAGTGGGTAGATATCTCGGGGATAGCCAATGGTCGATTCTCCCGCCTAACAAGCATTAAATGGGACTGCAAAGTTCATTTCTCGGCAAGATGCAATTTAAAGTACAAGGAGTGTATTTATAAAGAGTGTGAAGGAAATGCAAAGTAACGAATTGACAGTCATAGCCTCACGTCTTTTAGTCACCGCACAGGCATTTGGACGAACCGCATTTACTCAGCCCCTTTCACGTCTTTTCCTCATTGGTGCGAAATGTTAGCGTGCTTTATTTCTGACTCGTACTAGATACGATTTACTATAAAAGGCAAGTAGGAGTAGAGCAACAACTTTGTCTGATAGTTAAAACCCCTTCTAAGCAGTTCGTTCTACAATCTCACCTTTGTCAACTGCTGTTCAGCACGCTTTACTCGAGCGAATTCTGAGATTTTGGAACCAAGTTCAAGCGAGTTCGTAAGAGGAGACAAGCCACAGTTCATGCGCTCTTCGTTCAGCCAGCACTTTATGGGTGTTGAAAATAAGAGAAAATGGTACAATGCCCACTGAAAGGCACCGCGACCGGTGTTTGATGCACCTGCATGCAAACAGTTGGTTGCGCCTTTGTAGCCCTTGCAATTGGCACCAAGTTCTTGGGGCATTACGTAGGACCCAGCACAAACCTTTGTCTTGGAAATTAAAGCGATCAAACTTAACTGTATCCCATTTGGCTGTAAACGGTCTTCTCAGACTTACTTTCTTCCACAAAATGGAATATTCAGTAGTTTTTAGATTGGGAAGGAATGAGAAGGCATTAGGAGGTGACAGCACCATAAAAGCGGAGTGGACTTTCTGAATTCGTCATTCCTTGGTACACCCGTTAGTCTATTCATACTTGAAGGCAAATAATCACATTTCTTTACATCCTACCGAAAACTTGTCAGTTGCTGTCAGTCTCCAGTTTTGTGTTCCTTGAATTCCGTTGGGAAAGGCAGTGCATTGTCTTTCCAACTTTGTCTTCCACTTCATTGTAAATCCACCATCTCACTCACTTTCCAAACCAACTCACCAGTCAGCCTTGTGAGTGCTCAACCCAACTTTCTGTTTATGTAGCGCCCTTTCTTTGCGAAACTGTTGGCAGGCAGGTGGGTCCCTAATTCCTCCTTCCCTCAATCACCTCTGCTGTGTTTCTTCCAGCCCGGGTCCAAACTATGGGCTCACAATTATCGCATTCTGTCGTTCTTTCGATTCATTACCCTCAAAAAGCGGCTATGGATCCATTGATAAGTAATATAAAAAGCTAGATCCAACCACCACGAGATTATAGGGCACTCGAGTTCGCAAATAACCTTAGTGTTCGTGGGATGATGTGAAGAGTTGAAATTTTAACCGAGATTTTGGGAGATAAGAGGTGCCGCGTCGTTGTGTGTGTAGATGAAAGTGCGCATCAGGTCTGTTTCGCAGTCCTTGACTTTTCCAGAGTCGTTCCTCCGTGTTAGGACGGCATCATAAGTCTTTATACGATAACGCTTCCTCACAATGAGGAGACCCTCGAGTGTGGTGGCGGTTGGATGTTTGGTCGGCCTGAATGGAATTTACTTTTAACGTCCTTCTCACGAGCTACATTGCAAGGAATCATCTGCCAGGCTATGTGATGCCTTTGGCGTGTCATCCACTTTTCATTTAAATTTTTAACCCAAAATGACTTTCCTTGTCATGCACAAGTTAAACTAAAAGTGACTTTTAGGAATGCTCTCCAAATTAGTGGCATGACAACGGTCAAAGTACTAGCATTATCTAAGCGAGGTTGTCGACATATTCCTTTATAAGCAGTAGTTTCGTATATGAAAACCAGACATGATTTAATAGTTTTCTGATCACAGTTAGAAATGGTGACTTTGTTGACAAAATACGTGCCTGTCAATGAAAAGAGGAAGACAAAGACTGACAATAGTTGCATCGTGATTTCACACAAAATTATGTAACACAAAAATGAGAGAAACAAAAGCCAATTTTTAGTCTATCAAATGGAATCGAGGTTCTCACAACTCTTAGATTTCACTAACCATAATTTTGTCACAACCGTTAGAAATTCACATTCACGCACACAAATGTACACTTACTTATGGTGGCAGAGACATGCCTATTTTTTATCTATACTACAATTTTCTTCGTTCTTCACTTTACTTGGTCTTTCCCTTTTCAAATGTGGTAAGGGGAACACCAGCATCAGCCGCCTCCCTCTCCTCCTCATCCTCCTCATCCTCCTCTTCCTTCTCCTGCTCCGTCTCTTTCACAACAGCATCCCTTTGTTTGATCGACACCTCCGCCGCCTTCACTGCGTCAATCTCCTTGGTGTCACTTATAATCGAGTGTCCATTCACCGGTGCTTGCGCCTCCCGACGCATGCATCGAAAGAAGTCCCGTCGTCCCTCCAGTTTTCCGGCCAACCACAGTCGGTGCATGAGGTATGAGACCAAAGTACTCACCACCAGACTACCCAACATCGCAATCGTCTTAACTGGTGCGCGCTGTAATCCTGCCTCGTAGTCATAGCCGGGATAGCGGAAAAGTGCTGGTAAACCAATCGTCCTTTCGCCCGAGGTTAGACGCAGAAATAGGCCTAAATGACACGAAATTACAGCTTTGATTCCTCCTTTGGCTCAGTAAATTAATTTAACGACATTGAACCTACCGACGAGGAAGCCAGCAAGAGAGCCATAGGTGTTTGTGAAGGGGATGAAAAGGACTGATATGAGTTGAGGGAAGAGAATGACGTAGACAAGATCGGAGGAGAGAAACCACAAATCGTAGATAGATTTGATCATGATACCAAGGAGGCAAGCAAAACCACCAACGACAAGGATGCTGCCCTTCATGGCGAAGAGAATGCAACGCTCAGAAGTAGCGGGAAAGAGGGCTTTTACCACATTGTGGGCGAACATTGAAGCGGCAGAAAAGACGGAGGAATCGGCAGAGGACATGACAGCGGCCGAAATAGCTCCAAGACCCACAAAAGAAACTGCTGGTGGACAGAGGTACTGCAGCACCAGTGGTAGCACCAGCTTTCGTTCTGATGGGATTATAATATTGTCAAGCGTGCCATTGTACTCGGTCGCTGACCAATCCGTACTGGCGGCTACCGCTCCGATCAAAATCGATGGAATGGCCATGATTAGACACCCCAATGACGCCATATAGCTGAGCATTTGAGCTCCACGAGCTGTTCTTGCAGAAAGAACCCGTTGGAAGTACACTTGCCAGGGGATGCCGCCGAGGATGAGCATCAATAGGTTGTCAACATACTGAGCTGCGTCGTCAGCTGACAAGGAGCCGATCCAGCGCGTCGAA